AAAAGGAGTAAGGGGAAAAGGAGAAAGATATAATGACTAGTGTTGTAGGACCATCTGGCTCTGTCTCGCAGTGGAAAGCTGAATTGGCGACTTTATCACCTTTTCCTTCGTAGAAACGTAGCAGGGGGAATAACCGACTGTACTTGGTCAAGGCGCATATAAGCTATCTAACTTATGTCTTCACATGTCGTTTTATAACTACTGCAGGTCGCTTGAGTGCTAAACTAGTTATCTCGAGTTTCGATACCTTTATATTAAGATATCAAACGTGATTGTAATCCATAAGTCGTGTTTTGTGTTGGGTGACTAAGGCATCTTTTATAGCTTCTAGGATACATTATTTTAAAAGTCTTGTGTTTAATTCATATTTTTGGCTTCAAATTAGAGGGATGAGTGGAAAGTATTGTCTTAGACGCTTTTGGGGACAAATATGGCCAATCTTTAAAATACGAGGGAAAAGAGATAAGTCACCTCGGCATGTGGTGACTCAGGCAGCCTTATAATAACATAAAGTTCCATTTACTATCTAAAACCCTGTTTGAGGGTGATTAATACATACCACTAGTAGTCACTAAATTTGACCATTGCATTTCAGTTCAGAAATATTCATTGATTCTCAACAAGGATAGAAAACGTCCCTACATGTCATTCAAAGCAAAAGAGATTTCACACGCCTGAAGTATCGATAATCATTCTATCAAAAATTTAATTAAATAATTATAGTTGCAATGTTTCCCCATGATGAATAAAATACAATACAGCACATGCATGGGGTTGTTCAATGTAGTTTTACCAGTTTCGCACCAAAACTGATCCACAGTTCAAAAGGCTCGTTAGAATTTGGTTCAATGAAGTCTTCAAATTGGTGCCACATTATTCCCTGATATTCAACTCTTGTCTTGGACTTCCACACATTGTATGACTGATTCGACTGGTCCGAGTATGAGGAGAAAAATTCCTGTTCTGGAAGCTCTTCATTATTTGGTTGTACCGGTCTGCCTTTAGGAGTGGCAGATGCTATCGGCCGTACTTCACGGCCATCACCAATGCTCTTCCTTTTTGAGATGAGGTCTCTTCTCTTACAGGAGCCGGATCGCCAAATCGCATATAAAGTAGATGATTCCAGAATGCTCGAGAAACAAAAGTATCAGTATCGGTACCAGTATTTATATAGCTTCCTCGCTTTGAGAACCCTCAAGTGTGTGTGTGTGTGTGTGTGTGTGTGACATGATTCTATTATGTAAAAACGCCCGTCGTGCGGCAAGTCCTCATCTTGCCTCAGCTCTGGATCAGAATGAATATAGACAACGCTTACACAAGACTTAACTGTTTCAATGGAAGAGAAATAAAATAAATATTTTTTAAAAACCCGCTGAAAACAAAAACATAATGTAGACAATGTTGTTTTTAATCCATTTTTATCACAATATTATTATTAAACAAAAATCGATAATTTCTAGTTTCTGTATTGATCCAAGCGAAGGCGGTTTAAGTTTTGACCGAGACAAGGCAAATCAAATCCCATGCGCACCCAATACAAGTACACTGCACACACGACAGACTGATCACGTCTGGCGAATACCTAATCCGGGTTTATTTCCCTGAGAATTATTTCTGTCAGGTCACTGGTCCTGGGAAACAGAGATGTGTGCGAACACTTCATCTGGCCTCACCTCAGCTGGGCCAAAGCAATAAAAACAATTACTCTGTTTTCATTGAACTGAATGTAACTTCAGTTCTTCGGCTTCATGATGATCATAGTTAGAAAGCATTTTATAATATTTTTAACTTAACTTCATTCCGATAAATACAGACAATAAATTATAACTTTTCGCACCCGGTTCAGGCTCTACCAGGAGCATAGCTAATGAGAAATAGTATGACACTCAACACCTTAGAAGCAAAGTGGTGCTAACTATGAGATTTCATTTTTTATGAGTGTGGAGAAGATCTTTGACAGAAAAACACATCATTTAGTATAGGGAAAAAGCAAGACAGAAAAGCAGGAACAATAAACGAGTAGGACCTACTACCAGTGGTGTCTTCGATCCACTTTAGTAATTTTTAAAAAATCAAATAAGCTATGGATAAACGCACATGCTATAAAAAGGGAAATTTCTTTTCAAAAGGAGGACAAATGACTATGAATAAATGCATAAACAAAATAGGTAAAGTATATTAATATGTGGGGGGTTTTTAAATTAAAAAAATTCCATGAATACATGTGCAGACAAAAACAGGTAAAAATGTCTTTTAAAAAACTGGGTAACAATAAAAAGAGGACTTGAGGCCTACTGATAAACACACAGACAAAAACAGGTAGAAATACACAACAAGGGATAATAGGCCGACTAGATCCGGAAGGGGGGGGGGGGCGTAAGAAAAGGAGTAAGGGGAAAAGGAGAAAGATATAATGACTAGTGTTGTAGGACCATCTGGCTCTGTCTCGCAGTGGAAAGCTGAATTGGCGACTTTATCACCTTTTCCTTCGTAGAAACGTAGCAGGGGGAATAACCGACTGTACTTGGTCAAGGCGCATATAAGCTATCTAACTTATGTCTTCACATGTCGTTTTATAACTACTGCAGGTCGCTTGAGTGCTAAACTAGTTATCTCGAGTTTCGATACCTTTATATTAAGATATCAAACGTGATTGTAATCCATAAGTCGTGTTTTGTGTTGGGTGACTAAGGCATCTTTTATAGCTTCTAGGATACATTATTTTAAAAGTCTTGTGTTTAATTCATATTTTTGGCTTCAAATTAGGGGGATGATTGGAAAGTATTGACTTAGACGCTTTTGGGGACAAATATGGCCAATCTTTAAAATACGAGGGAAAAGAGATAAGTCACCTCGGCATGTGGTGACTCAGGCAGCCTTATAATAACATAAAGTTCCATTTACTATCTAAAACCCTGTTTGAGGGTGATTAATACATACCACTAGTAGTCACTAAATTTGACCATTGCATTTCAGTTCAGAAATATTCATTGATTCTCAACAAGGATAGAAAACGTCCCTACATGTCATTCAAAGCAAAAGAGATTTCACACGCCTGAAGTATCGATAATCATTCTATCAAAAATTTAATTAAATAATTATAGTTGCAATGTTTCCCCATGATGAATAAAATACAATACAGCACATGCATGGGGTTGTTCAATGTAGTTTTACCAGTTTCGCACCAAAACTGATCCACAGTTCAAAAGGCTCGTTAGAATTTGGTTCAATGAAGTCTTCAAATTGGTGCCACATTATTCCCTGATATTCAACTCTTGTCTCGGACTTCCACACATTGTATGACTGATTCGACTGGTCCGAGTATGAGGAGAAAAATTCCTGTTCTGGAAGCTCTTCATTATTTGGTTGTACCGGTCTGCCTTTAGGAGTGGCAGATGCTATCGGCCGTACTTCACGGCCATCACCAATGCTCTTCCTTTTTGAGATGAGGTCTCTTCTCTTACAGGAGCCGGATCGCCAAATCGCATATAAAGTAGATGATTCCAGAATGCTCGAGAAACAAAAGTATCAGTATCGGTACCAGTATTTATATAGCTTCCTCGCTTTGAGAACCCTCAACAGAATGTTTGTCACATGCTTTGGAGAGTACAACATCAGAAGTTCTTGCGTTTACTCGTGACC